AGTTAGTTTTACGTTTTTGTCTCAATTCGACTAGTTATCAATAGAAAATACACTTTTTGTCCAATAAAATGAGTGATCAGAGAGAAAGCCGGGTGGGTGGGCGGGGCCACTTTGAATTTGTTCAAGCGTAGATTCGACTACTTGACAAAATGAAATTCAGCTAATCAAAAAATTTTGAGAAAACGGTAGAATTTCCGAAAAAACGAAGCCGAAAATGACTTCAGGATATCGAAATCTACAAGAAAATGTTTTCAACTAATTTTCGGAAATACATAGTTGAACAATGGCCGAAAATGTCAAAAGTGCCAAAATCAGTCTTATCTTAACAAATACTAGCCCCGCCCACCCACCCTCTATTTTTTTAGAGGGTATGTCATTTGCCAAAATCAGTTTCATCTTAGCAAGTACTAGCCCCGCTCACCCACCCCCCTTTTCTCATTCTAACACCTAATTTTATTTCTGTTGAATATAAGATAATTCATTTCATTCAAATAGGATAAAATCAATCACTGAAAAGCAGGCAAGGTGGGTGGCGGCATTAATTATGTTGTTATGTTGAGTGGGAGTAGAAACTAATAATAACATCTAGGATGTGAAAAAATTAAAAACTAATCGTAACTTTTGTTGTTATACTCTTGCTATAAAATGTATTTCTTATTTTACCTTTCTGTCTACATTCCACTCTGTATAAATGGAAATGCCACTTTATGTCCAATAAAATGAGTGATTAAAACGGAAACCTAGTGGATGGGCGAGGCCACTTTAAATTTTTTTAAGCTTAGATTGAACCACTTGACGAATTAAAATAAAATTTTCATCTCAGAGGAAATAAAATTAGCCAATGAAATTCAAAAACGGAGCTGTTTTACCTTTTTGTCTAGATTCGACTAGAAAACACACTTTTTGTTTGGACAAAAAGTGTGTTTTCTAGTTTGGTTTTCTTTCTGATCACTCATTTTATTGGTAAAATGAGTGATCAGAAAGAAAACCGGGTGGGTGGGTGGGGCCACTTTTCTTAGAGGGTATGTCAGTTGCCAACATATGTTTTAGCAGTTACTAAATACTACTTCATTTTTTTTTTTTTTGGACTCCCGAAACCCCCGTGCATAACATACTGAAGTGTTGTCCGCCATTTTCCATACACCCTGTATATAATTATAATTAAGTGGACGTTAGCTTTTGCCGCCTCTTCGAAATAGGAGTTGTAAATGCAACTGTCAAAGTGACGTTAAGTGTCTCTGGTAACTGATTGTACGCCATTTAAAATTCATAATTTTTATTCAGTTGTTTATTTTAACGATCTCGATTGCAATAAATCTTAGTTTGACAGAAATAAATCTGTCAGACATACATGTAATCAGTCAGTATTGACAAAAATGTGAAAATTAGCGCTCGTTCTGTTATCATTACATTACAACAATTTACAACTTCTTGCAAAATTAGTCATTTTTCAAACAGCTTTCTGTTGCGCTGGCCTTTTATTTCAGTTTTATCATTTTTATAATGAATTCACACGAGTATAACTTTCGAATAAAGTGTCCTACGCTAGGACTATGACAGGAGAGTGAGTATTCAACTGCTTCCATACTTTTCAGCGACCCTGTATCCACCCAGCGTATTTCCACATAATTTAGTACTCTGAAAACCACATCCACCCAAGCATCTCCGCCTTCCAGTGCTCACTGACCCTAAAAATCCCGACGATTCCCGTCCCATTGACACATTATGAATATATCCATCCACGACTAACGAACCCGGCCCGTAATTCCTCGCTTCGCACCTTGTATTCTCAGCACGTGTGGGTAAACGAAAAAACTCAACTGCAACCACTCTGAGGAATCCGTTTCCTTTTTAGTCCTCCTAAACCCCCAGTCCTGCGACGTTCATCAGCCCGCAATTAGTCTCGGGTGTTAACGAGCCGGACCACCATAAAAGCCGGAATTAGATTTAATCCTGCTGGGAGGAGCAGAACAGAATCGTCGATGTGGAGCGAAGACCGATGTCGTCGTCTCGGTCAGTGTCGCACGTTTGACACTAAATGATTCGATTATTCCCACAAGCATACCGTGAGCTGGTCGGTCATGCTTCACCTCACCCATGTTCAGAGGACACCGTCGGACGCTGCGGCTGCAGAGCACCGGATAGCTATGACCATAGCAACAGGAACGAGAAGAATGCCACAGACTCCTACACCGGATCAAAATTCTGACAGATGTTAATTCGGAAACTAGCGGGGACGGGAGTGTTGAATTTTTCAGCCTACATGTGCTCGGGGTTCGACAGGTTTACTTACCTGTTTGGATTTAAGTGGCGACGAATTCCTGAAAGATAAATGTGATTGATAATTGAGAATGTGGGTATTTGGTGTAGCTTACTATGTACAAAGCGGGGGCAAAATTTAACCAAAAAAGTTAATTTGGAGAAAGCTTTAATTCATTGAAAATAGAACACCTATTAATTTAAATTTTTCTTTTGCAGGCACTGTGAAGCAATTCGGACTCAGTTACTGGTGAGTACCACACACTTTTCCAACTCCATCTGTTCGGTAAACGGAGTACAATACAAAAATCCCGAACCAAATCCAAAACCCCAATGATAAGCATAAATAAAACCAAACCGATGCGCCAGCAGCTGATCCTCTGAACCGCGAGCGATCGGTTTGGAAGTTTACACAAGAAGGTTCGTCTTTCAGAGACTTGTCGGTGCCGCGATGATTAGTTTCGGTCGGACGGACGGTCGGCCGGTCGGGGTATCGTACTTGGCATCTTCAATTATCTGAGCTTATTATCGAGGAATGCTAAGCTAGCTGAACGGGTACGGGTACGGGTACGGGTCGAGACCAGAGAGAAACTACCGGAGACCGGAGCCGACGGACGGACGACGAACGGCACTCTGCGCTGCGGCGTGCTGCCTCTGTTCGAATGACGAAACGCGCCGCCGGCGACCCTCGCAGCAGAGATCATTTTAATGACTATGATTCAGGTAACGTGCACGGTGGCGATGGCGGTGATTTCGATGCGAACGCAAGACACGAACATTGCTTAAACTTGGGAGTTTTGCTTGTTTTGTGCACGGAGCGTTTGCTGGAGATGCTGTGGTCGGGTGCGGAAGTAAACGGCGCGATTGATTTTCGCAATTTACATATTTTATTCACACTTGTATTATTTAGCCAGTTACAACTAAGAATGAGCGTGTATTATTCTGGAAAAGCTGCTTCCTAAAGGAGAGTTCTTGCGCTTTGAATTTGCATATTTGGGAACAGTACCTAATTGGTTAACGAATTATTAATGTTACACATTACACATATGACGTAGCAGTCTATGACATTTTTAATGACAATTTCAACACTAAAAGTCGACATTTTTCTAATTAGGAAAAAAACTTGCGTTACTAAGGCAACATTCACTTTTAATCCTAGGATTAAAAGAAATAATAACTAATCTCAAACTATATTTTTTCGTCAATTTTGATAATATTAAAAATGTTGTCTTTAATATTTTATAATTTTATTAATAAATTAAACACTTTACATAATTTCTAAATTTTAAAATTGATATTAAATGTAAAATTAGAACAACTTTCAGAAAATTGGATTAACGATTTGCCGTCACTATTATCCCTTGTAATAGCAGTGATAACAATGTCTGTCAATGGTTCTGCTATTTCATTTTCAGTTACATCTTTGATTAGATATTGAGAAAGAACGAGTGTAGAGGTCGATTAAAGTGCTGCAAGAAAAAGCTGCCTGTGTCGGTGATTTAAATCGAATTAATTGTTGATTTTGTGTATTGGCATCTACCACACCTCAAGATGTAGCAGTTATAAAGGTATCATCTTTGCATCGTATTGTAAACTGGTTAAGAAGGCCTAGAATCCGTTTGCACTCTTTTTGTTAACCTGAATTATCAAAACAGTGATACTAGTGGTCAGATAAGCTACTTGTGTTCCCCTGATTTTTCGGCAACCCAATAAACAGCCGTTTGGCTGGGTTCTGCCAAGATCTCAACAAGTCCAAATTCAACTTTTCAATTCCCAAAAAAAGAACAAGCCATTGTCCTAAATGTAATTAGTGACCTGAAACTCACAGACTATGTCGTTGCAGTGGGAGAAATTATACAACCTAAAAACATACTATTTGCTTCTCGCATAGCTAACAATAGAATATGTATTTATCTCAGTAGCAAGGATTTGGTCGACCAGATTGTTACAGAGCATTCCAATATAAAAATCCAAGATTATAAAACAAGAGTCAGGCGGTTTATATCGCCTGCGAAACGCATCATTCTTTCAAACGTCTGCCCTACCATTCCACATTCTGTACTTGAAAACATTATTAAAAGGCTTGGATACAAAACGGTGTCGCCTATGAATTTTCTTAGAGCAAGCATCCAAAACGAGACCTGCAGCCACGTTTTGAGTTTCAGAAGACAAATCTTTGTTGAGCCTACCGACGAGATTGATCTTCCTTCGTCCACGCTCATTAAGTACGAAGAGACTGAGTACAGAATATTTTTCACCCTCGGTGATCAAACTTGTTTTAAGTGTCGAATCTTGTAAATAATCCTATAGAAGAAACTCGTGTTCAAGATTTAGCTGGTACGTCAAAGAAGAAGATAAAAACATGCGATTCTACAGAAAGTCTTACTGGGGTCCCTGAGTTACTTGAATCTGCCAAGGAATTATTTGACTTACCAGATTCGTCTTTTCCGATAGATTTTGAATCTTTGGTCAAATTTATGGAAGAAGACGTTGGACAATCTGACATACTTACTGTTGCTTTTGCATATACAATGAATATTGATGGCCTACTCGAAATGTTGTACAAAGTTTACCCTAAATTGACGCATAAATGTATCAAGAACCGTGTGGTCAAAGTTCAGCGTAAGCTTAAAAAATCCTATGACCTTTACGAGGCTTGGTCTGGTGGCGAACCTAACTTAGAATTCTTTTAATAGTACATATTCATGTCACAAGGCGAAACATTTTTTAACTGCTCAATTATGTACACTAATCTTGGATCTTTGACCGCAAAGTTTGATGATTTAACAGCTCTCGTTACGCAGCAAAAACCTACTATACCTACTCTTAATAACTGAAACTTGGTTGAATTCAAATATCACTGATTCAATTGTATCATTACCAAATTATATTCTTTACCGATCAGATCGTAAATCAGGAAGAGGAGGAGGTGTATGCATTTATTTGTCAACGCAAATAGTTTCCACCTTTCCTATATCACCTCTAGATATTGTGATTGATAATGTCGAATCATTATTTATAAAAATTTCCAATCGTCAATTGTGTTTCGTACTAAGCTGCATTTATAGGACTCCTTCAACGACATATGCGATCGATGTTCAGTTGTTTCGAACCCTGACCGAATTGGCAAATGGCCATGACAATCTGCTTATTTTCGGAGACTTTAATACGCCGTAAATAAAATGGATACGAATCGCTAATTACGCTCCGGACCAATCTTCTCAACTATTACTTGATTTCATAAACAATAGTCATTTACATCAACTTGTTAATAAACCCACAAGATACAGACAGAATCAAACGCCGTCGACCCTTGATCTCATAATATTGTCAGACGTGAATCTTCTTTCAAATTTGAATTACGGCTCTCCTGTTGGTATTTCTGACCATGTTACTTTGTCAGCACAGCTGCGACTTTGTTGTAATCTTCAGGGTAAGAAAACAGTCCACACTAAATTTTATACTGACTATGCAGTGCTGAACCATGACATCAGTAATATGGACTGGGAGACTGCTGAGTTCCGCGTCGGTAAATGATAACTGGATCATATTTAAAGAGAACTTAGTGCAATTAGTTGACAAAAATACTGTCAAACAAACTGTGCCTCGTTCAACGAACAAACCGTCGATTAGTAAAAAATTACTCCAGATGGTTTGTAAAAAGAGAGCATTGTGGAAACGATTCAAGAATAGCCGATCTGACACTGACTATGCAGCTCATCGGGCTTATTCAAACCGTCTATCTGTAGAAATAAAAGCGGCTAAAAGAACTTATGAACTCCGTGTAGCTAATTCTAAAGATCCAAAGATACTCTACAAATATATTCGTAATAGGATCACCGGACCTGTTAGAAATCCACAACTTCGTAACAGAATGGCGTCATAGTAACTGATGACGAAATCATTGCCAACTTATTTGCTGAGACTTTTGCGCAATCTTATACTAGAGAGACAGTAACAAACACAATACCTCTGTTATCTACACCGAAAGTCAATTTTGCTCACCTGGACCAGATGGGATTACTCCGACAGTTCTTAATAAATGTGCTAAGACCGTTTGCATACCTTTGAAGATTTTAATGACACAATCTTTTCAAAACAGTCAACTTCCTGAAGATTGGAGATTGGCCATTGTAAAGCCGATCTTTAAAAAAGGCGATAAATTTCAAGCTGTGAACTACAGACCGATTAGTCTCACTGCGATCATAGCCAAAATCATGGAATCTATTATTTCCGATGAGATAAGAAAGTTTCGGCTTGCAAACAACGTCCTTCCTGCCGAACAGCACGGATTTGTCCCAAAAAAGCCTGTGTCCACAAATCTTCTTTGTGCCGTATCAGATTGGACCAAAAATTTCGACCGTGGTGTTGCTACCGACGTTGTGTATTTTGATTTTTGTAAAGCCTTTGACAAAGTTCCAATAACAATTCTTCTGTTAAAACTTCGACACTATGGCATTACAGGACTGTTACTAGAATGGATAAAAGGATTCTTAACTAATCGAAGTTTCAGAATTAAAGTCGGTGCATCACTGATAGACCATTTAAAATTTGTGTCTTTTCTTAACACACGGTTTAATGGATATAACATGCTGGATGCACTGGGAATAGATTTTGTATAATACATCACCATTCCAAGAAAACGTTGAAGTTCTTCTAAAGAGTTCGGCCTTGGTGCTTCTATGATCACTTTGATTTTATCTTCACATTTTTCGAGTCCTTTTTCTGAAATGACATGACCCAAATTTTGAATTCTCTTCTTGACAAATTCACATTTTTCTCGATTCAGATGCAGCTTATATTTACGTAATCTTTCAAGAACTTTAATTAAACGAAATTTACAGTCTTCAATAGAAGAACCTTGAACCATTATATCATCAAAATACGCTGTGGTACCTCCTAAATCGTGAACAATTTGATCGATGACTTTATGAAATTCATTTGGAGCCGTTTTGATACCAAAGAAGGGTCGTTTAGCTAAATAGGTACCTCGATGAGTTGAAATTGTTTGTATTCGTGCACTTTCATCTTCAACAGGAACATGTAAATATGTTTTGAAGACGTCTAATGTACAGAAATATTTACCATTTTTGATTTTATTGAAAGTATCTTCTATTCTGGGAATAAGATAACTGTTACCTTGAAGTGCATTGTTGATAGTTACTTTGTAATCAGCACACAGTCTAATGTCACCATTCTTCTTCGTCACAATAACCAAAGGTGTTCCTCACTCGGAGTGATCGGTTTTCTTAATAATACCTTGATTTCCTAAGTCATCTAATTCCTGTTCTATTTTCTCTTGGAGAGCGTAAGGAACTCGACGAGGCTTTATAAAAATTGGTTGTGCATTTTCTCGAAGAGATAAAAAGCATTGATAGTTTGGAATTTCACCAACTTTTGGTTGAAAAACGTCGCTGAATTGATTGAAAATTTCTGACATTGATGGTTGACGAGTAGAAATAGAATAAAAATCCTGAAGACTTATCTGTAGGTTTCGAATCCATTTCCCATAATGGCTGTACCATAATCATAAACGACAAATAAATCTTCCATGAACTCCTTCTTTTTATATGTAACAGTTATTCGTATGTAACCCAGAGGTTTAAATATTTGTTTTGTATAGGAACGAAATTGAATATTTGTACTTCGAAGAGTCACTTTAAGATTCAATGCATCGAAGATTTTCTTTGAAATGATGCTGACTGGACTGCCGGTATCACACTCAAATTTAACTGGTTTGCCAAGAATTTGTACTGTAATGAACATTCTTGGTTCATAAACTGACGAAGAACTATTGAAGATGTCGATAATATTATTTATTTGAAATTCTTCATCAACAGAGGAATTTAAACCGATGTCGACGTTTTTGAGAGTTTGTCGATTTTTTTGAAGTAATGTAGAACACATGCTTTATTTGTGTGAAGATCTATTTTGATTATATTTTGATGCTGATTGTCCTTTAGTAAAACCAATTTTATGAACATTATTTGACGCATGTGATGAGTTGTTATAAACTTCCCGATTTTGAATCTTGAAGCTTCGATTGCCAATGCTGTTTCTAATGCTTTATCAAACGAAACGTTTACTAATTGAAGAATTCTTTCTCTAATGCTGGAACCTTGTAGTCCTCGGATAAACTGAGCTCGTAGTAACATGTCGATCACAGATTTCGAACAAGTAAAACAAAGAGGTTCTTGTTCTTTACATTCCGTTTTGAATTCAAAATTTTTAATTAATTCTTTCAATCCTGCAACGAATGTAGAAATTGATTCACCTGGTTGTTGAACTCTTGAAAAGAATTTATGATGTTCAGCTAAAACATCTTTCTTCGGTGGAAGATGATTTCTTAGAAGATCCATTAATTCTTGGTAGGTTAACTGTAGCTGGTAGTTTTGGAGAGGTCAAACTTGCAAGTAATTTGTAATGTCTGCTGCCCAAACAATTTATTAATACCATAACTTTGGGATCACTAGTTTCTTTGTCGTTTTTATGCGAACCTCTTAATGTGAAAAAATGTTCGAGTCTTTGACTGTAACTCTCAAAATTTTCAACGCTTTCATCAAATCCGTCGAAAGTTATAGCCTTCTTGTACACTTGCAGTCGATGTTCGTTGGTTTTGTAATATAGAAACCAATCTACTAAGGGCTGTTACTAATGCTGATAAATCTTCCGCCATGTTTTTTAAACACTCGTCGCCGAAAACTGTTGTTTATTTAACAGTTTAGATATTTTTTATATTATTCTTTATTTCATTGAAATGTCACAATTCTAAAATTATTCTAAATATAATAATAATAACGTCTTTTGTTTTTTAACATTGTAACTTGATTAATATATATAACAGTGTGTTTCACTGATTCCTCTATGTACCCCTCCGCTACACTATTCGATTTCCACCTTCCGTGTCTCTTGAGAGATATAATGTTACCTCCAGCATCTACAGGGAGACTGGCAGACGTGCGACGTAGGCAATATCCGCTATATTCATTACGATTTTCCAATTTTAAAAATTTAGCTACTTCTCTTGGCACATCGCTAATCTTGTGAATCCCAACTACTTGTTGCTGACACTTTCCATTTATGTATTTAACGAAAAATCGACGTTCATGAAAATTTTTTGGTCGAAGAAATTCCTCGAAAAATTTGGACGAAGACAAAAATGATAGCATATTTAAATAAAAATCTATACAATATCTTTTTCATAATCTTTAAAATTTTTAACTTTTAAATTTAAATAATAAAATAATTCGCGTAATATCTATACCTGGGTAGAATTTGACATCTTTCATTTTCCGATGTACCTAAAGATTGCAACAAATAATTTAATTTTAATAAAGATTCATAGCCTGAAGAACCGCAAGAAAATTTAATCGACAGTGTTTTTTATCCAGTCTCGAGGCGCCATTTCATTTTTTTTTATTTAATGCATTTGTAATCACTTCTTCATTTATTTTAAAACACTCAAACGCTGTTACCTTTTAGTAATTTGGTTCAATCAAGCTAACAAAGAAAAATGGCTCGACTGCCAGGTAACATAGTTTTCGTTAAACTAAATGTTTACCCGATAATTCTAACTACACGTGGTACTCGTATTACTTATTATTTCCTTTCAGACACTAAAATTAATTCTCCGGAATAACCGATTTAGCAACAAATTATGAGCCATTATTAATTAGTAACAACTGAGGAAAACGCTCACCGGAAAATCAACAACCTGTTACAGAACAATCCGATTAAATTTTAATAAACACATCCTGCATAAACACGCATCCTCCAATAATCCAATTCTAATGCAAATTTAATGTCGCTCTTTTGTGTTAACACGTCTCAATAAATTTTGTATTACCTCAAAAAAATCGAACATCTTCATAAGGCGGCCTCTGTTAACGTCCCACCAACAAGCACAAATCAGCGATTGCGGCAGCACCAAAAGAGCTATCGAAATTGCGCAACGGTAGTACGTTTCACATTTTATTAATTCTAATAACATAAGTATCTCAATTTATTACACAGTCAAAGCCGTTTAAAAATATCCGCTTTATAAATGGCACAGCGATGTCATTCCGATTTCAAAGTATATGATAGCGAAGTAATTTCTTGGTGAAAAACGACCCTGTACAGACACATTCTTCACCTCTCGATGGAATTCAGCATAACATGCGTGTGCATACTTCCCTTCAACTAATGCAACGTACCAGTTGAACAAATGACGGACCATTAATACTGAAAAGGTTAAATGGGCACACGGACGACTACTGGTTTAAGCCGAGTGTGATGTCGACTGGTCTTCGGTTTGTCTAATGGTCGCGTCAAGCATTTATGCGTTTGATGCAAAAAGTGTGAAAAAAGGGAACACGTAGTGTGGAATATTTTTGTTCGTGGGGTAATTTTGTACACTTGACGCACTTTGAGCATCCAATTCTGACATAAGGTTGAGTACCTATGTGAGTACCATGTTTTTACTTATCTAAGAGTTTTGCAGGAATTATGAAATGTGTTCTTTATCGTATCGGTACGACTACTAAAAATAATGAAACGGCGCGGCGTTCAATTAGTTAAAAAGTTTAACAACTCATGACAATAAAACTGACGTTGAATATTAATTTGGACGATATGATCTGATATTTGTTGCACTGAAACACGAGTCCATGGTATCGACATTAGCGTGCATATTGGAAAGTCGTAATTAATTTGAAATAGTAAGAAACTAGGAGGTGTCCCATAGCAGGTGACTCAAAATATGATAAAAATAAATAGAAGTGGTCAAAATCATACTGGATATTAGAAAGATCATTTCGATTTAGATTTAGATTTAGATTTATTTATTTACGGAAACTCCATTTTACAAAAATTAACTTGATACCAGATACAACTTAATTATAATTGTTATAAAACAACAAAACACTATGTCTGAAACTAGAAAGTGTCGAATCAAAAATAGAAATCTCCCTACGGCCTGCTAAATCATTGGCAGCGAGCATCATTCTACGTAGAGGATGGTTCTTGACTATATTCGTCAAAGCCGACGTCACTCTAAAAATAATTATGCTTCTGGTTAAACGACTACTAGAAACTGGCACTATAAAGGACAACTCGGACAGCAGATGAGGATTATCAATTCGACCATTAATTAATCCATGTAAAACGCAAGCACGTCTTCTAACACTCAGTGGTGGTATATTGAAAGTGTGCATAACCCAGCTGTAGTCCCCAATAATATGCCTATGACCAACTTTAAATTCTAGAGTACGCATAAATCTTTTTTGGATTTTTTCCAGCATCTCCAAATCAACTTTATATATCGGTGTCCACCGGAGAGCAATATTCTAACTTCGATCGAACTAATGAGCAATATAGCGTTTTTAGTGACAACGGTGATAGGTCTTTACATATTCGCCATATGAACCCCCACATGTTTAAGGCTTTTTTAGCAATGTAAGAATAATGACTCTTAAACGAGAGTACCGCATCGAAGACTATCCCCAAATCCTTAATTTCAAA